TTGTATTGCTGCCATCAAATCTGCTAAGCTGTAGTTCGATTTGCCACTTCTCGTTTCCATCTTCTTCTTCTTTTTTTTGTCACACACTCTGACACCAATTTGTTACGTATCTGCTTGTTTGATAATTTCCTATAGAAAAACTTTCCGAGAAACTTTAGCGATACAAGTCCTTTCTTAATCAAAACTAGTTTATTCTTTCTCGTTACAAACTTTGTAATACACTTAATTTCCATAGTCACTTTAAATTTAACTACTTTTATAAACACACACTATAATTCACAGTGATTCATACACTTTACTTATGGTGCCTACTGCTCACTTGACTCAATTAACAATTATTTCTCTTCAATTTATTTCCAGCTTATATACTAAAAAAGAGGGCATCTAGCAAATGCTGGGATCCATCTAGAATCTCCAGCGCTCATGCTCCCAGTGTCTCGTGACTTCTGCTGTCATAACAGTATAATCAGCAAAATCACTTAGAAAAATAAAAGAAACTCTTACTGAGTCTTGTCTAAAATGTTTTCTTTTAAAAGCTAACAAAACTTTGGCATTAGTGGTTAGATATCAGAGAAATGGAATTCAGAAAGAAGACAAATGCAATGCTATATAAAGTACTAATGTAGATAGATAGACTATGTGAATAAAAGTAAATTTAAAGACTTGATTCAAAATCCAGCTGACCATTGTTAACTACATTTAATGATATTTGATGATTTTAAAATTCCAGATATTATTACTTGCTATTTTATACACTTGGTGACATATTTAAAAAATTATGAAAAAAAATTCTGTTCTTCATAAAAAACAAGAAAATATGAATGTTGTAATTTCATGAGTGTATCATTGTGTGTGTTAAATGATAAATAAATAAAAAAAATTAATTATGTCAAATCTGTAGGATTTATACTTTTAATATTACAGACAACAGTGTTTACCAGTTCTTTATTCAAGCTCAAGACAGAGGTTTTCCACCACAACGGACAGAAGTTCCAGTCACTGTCTATGTCAAAAGCCCTAGAGAACAAGCTCCACAGTTTGACAAGCTCAGTTATGAATTTTTCCTCAATGAGAATTCAGAAATAGGTAAAATAATTGCAACAATAAGTATTGTTTATCCTGAAGAGGTGACTTATTCTTTTGCTCCAACAGTTGAAGAGTCCAGTGCCCATCTCTATTTATCAAGCTTCAGTATTGACAACCATGGTCGAATCATGCAGGTTGCAGAACTAGACAGAGAGGAAAGAGACACTTATAATCTGACTATCCGAGTTGAAGCTAGCTCTCAGCCCCAATTGGCATCATACACTGATGTAAGCATCATTTTAATGGATGAGAATGATAACAGTCCAATGTTTGTTTCTAATCCTTATCAGATAATAGTTGCAGAGAATGTGGAAGAGAGTTACACTGTGGCTAGGCTTGTGGCTTTTGATCTAGATATTTCTAACAATGCTGAAATTGTATTTTCATTTGGTGATGATGCAGAAGAAATCACGAGGGTCTTTGATCTGGATACTCATGAGGGCTGGATTATCACTAAGGCACCTCTGGATTATGAAAGTGTGCCGTGGTATAACTTCTCTGTGATTGTACATGACAATGGCTCCCCACAACTATCTTCACAAACAATGGTGAACATACAAGTAAAAGACTATAATGATAATTCTCCAGTTTTTAGACAAAGTTACTATGAAAGCTCCATCTTTGAAGATGCTTTGGTGGGGACAGTTATAATTGTATTAGAAGTTAATGACCCAGATAGTGATCCAGGTCATGTTCTACAGTTTTATATTACTAGTGGTAATCCACAAGATCAATTTCAAATAAGTAAGACAGGTGAAATGTATTTGAACAAGCAATTGGACAGAGAACAAACTCCTAATTATAAGTTAACAGTCACTGTCACTGATGGAAGATTTGTATCAACTTCCGTTGTTGCTGTCGAGGTTTTAGATGCTAATGATAATCCCCCTATTTGTCACTCGGTAAGTAATAACAGTAAGTATGGTAAAATGTTTGGTTAACTCTAAATTGGTTGTTTGTGGTGAGTGAACCTATCGTGTGTGTTAATTGATTTATATTTGATTTTTACAAAAGTAATTTTTTTTTCATTACTTGTTTTTTGTACAGAAACCTAGTTAAACTTTCGAAGGTGTTGTATGTACTTAATGCTGTACAGGTAGAACCTGGAATACATATATTATGAAATCTCATTCCTTAGTTTATGAGCACAATGTAGCACTACTTGAACATTGAATAAATTTATTCATTACTACATTTTTCCAGTAAGATTTTTAATTACTTTTGATTGTCAATCTGTAGAAAGAGAGCAGTTTAATTATATTTTCTTTCAGGAATTTCAAAAGATTAGATTATATTATTGAAATTTTGTTAGTATTCAAATGATGAATAAAACATTTAACAAGGTTTTTCTGTAGCTCAGCTCACTTGTATTTTCAGTGCATTAGTTTTATAATAGTTCATTTTTACCACAGGTTGGGAGTTAGTTTAGTATGAGATATTAAACACTGGTAATAATTATGATTTTCCTTAACTGAGAAACATTGTGTTTAAGTTTATCATTCCAAGTTAATTTTTTTGATTCAAAAGTAGTATACTAAAAATCTTACAAAATCCTTCTCTTTTCATTCTTTTAAGTCTTTATCAAATAATTTCAATCTGCTCATGTTAGACACATTAATTTTTTATCTCCTAATTAAAAAATTAATTGCTTTAACAATATGAATTTGATTGCACTTGCCATGTATTAAGTTGAGACAGCACCCTTGTGGGTGAAGGGACTTTAAAAGATAGCTTAAACAGTGAGAGAAAATATAAATGTTTAATATTCGTATGTATGATTTCAATTATTTTTGAAATATAAGTTTTTACATTTGAATTGAATAAGAATAATTACTGTTAGAAACTGATATTTAGTTGTTTTTGTAGTCCAAGTTCACAGAAATGGTATCGGAAAGGATTGAACCTCAAACGTACATCCTGACAGTAAAAGCAACTGACAAGGATGAAGAAAGAAACTCGCAACTATTTTACTATCTTACTGGGGATGGTAATGGGGATTTTTTCATTAATCCAACGTCAGGTATGTTAAAACAATCTGAATGAATGAAACCTTTAAGAGAAAAATTACTTCTTACAAAGTTATTTTAAAGTTTTTGTTTGCTTTTTTGTAACAAGGATAAGAAAAAAAAAACACGATTAGTGTGATTGTGAGGGTTTGATCATCAAAACTGTTACCCTCAACTTACCACATTCAGCAGTTTTGACATTTTACACTGTACAACCTAATGTTTTTATTGGTGTCTTTGGAAATTTCAACTTGTTTTCTCATTATTATTAATTTTTAATAAAAGAACGACATTATTTATATAATTTGAAATAAACACTATTTATTTAATAATATCTGTAATTCACTTTGTGTCATATATACATAGTTAACCTATTGTGTGTGTGTCTGGTGGGGGGGGGGGTGGAATTTGTTAATATTTCTGTCTTATCCTATTTGTTTTTGTAGCTGTATACTTGCTTCAACCTGCTTATTTGTGGGCGTGTTGTTTGTCAGTATGTTATCAAACTTCACATTATTTGAATTTATTCTTGTGTCTAGTTACAGTTACGAAATAGTGAAGTTAATGTTTTTCATTTTGTTGTTATTACTTATTATTATAAGTACTACTTAAGCTAAAGGAAAAGTTAGAGTGGGAAGGTGAGAAAACAGTTACTTCTGTGTTTTGAAAATATCTAAAAAAAACTGTAATAACACTAGGCATAAATACTTTTCCTATTCAGTTCAGTATATTATATTCATTTACCATGAAACAGAACAGATCTGTTTATCATTATCACTTACTTATAAAAAAAATATTGGAAACACAATAATACCAAACAAATTATGGATGTTTCAGAATTTTTTTCAAATTCCATTATCAGCAATAAAACCTTAAAAAGTTAGTTCACAATATTCTAACTACAAAAAACTAGCTATTAAGTTTGAGGTTTTTGATACAGACATTTCTAAATTGTCATGTTTCTAATATTTCTTATAAAATTTTGTCTTCCGCCTGACAAATTAGTTGCAAATTCTATCACTTTTATGACATTTCATTAAGTAGTTTATTAATTTACTAACAAAACCACTAGATTTAATCTGTGTTAAACCGGTTAATTAAAGATATTTATTATTAATTAGGTTTATTGCAAACCAGCAAGCCTCTTGACAGGGAGCATCAACCTCGTTACCATATCACAGCTCATGTACAAGATAAAGAGAAGAAGGAATGGGAATGCACTAGCTTGGTTGACATACTGCTAAGTGATGTGAATGATAATTCCCCAGAGTTTGAAAGAGACATTTACACTGTAACAATACCAGAAGATTCTAAAGTTGGCACATTGGTTACAAAAGTTCATGCTGTGGATAAAGACTTAGGTTTACTATATTTGCTGTTGTTACCTTTTGTAGCTGAAACTTTTTGAATGGTTTATTTTGTATTAACCTTTTTAAATTGGTAATTTGATATAAATTAATATTAATTAAGATTTTTTTTGTTCCTTGTTTTTCCTAAGTAGTTTTTAATGGTATATTTTATATTGTTTACCAAACCTGTATTATTTCATTATTTCACTAAAAACTTCTATATGCAATAGTTATATGAATAAATATGAGGTAAAAGAAGGAAGTTAGTGGAGATAAAAAATGCTGATAATGTATGTGCAAATAAGTTATTTTTAGAGTTTAAGTTTTCAATGATTGGTATTTAAATGAAACTTTGTTGGTGATCATTGCTTATTTATAAACCTTGAGTTTAAGTGATAGTTATATAATGAAAAAAAAAATGTATTATACCAAGAACTCTTACAAACAGCAAGCTCTTTCTTTCTATATATGTGTGTTTAGTTGAATAAAATAGCTAATTGCAAACTTAAATGAAACATTAGTAATCACCAATGTTAACAGTGATGTATCTCCATGTTTTCCATCTTTGTCACATAGAGTATTAAAAAATTGTTTTTAATGTAAAGCCACTGGAAACTATATATTACCTCTTTTCTGGGGTTTACTATCCATGTCTGAATATGAAAAAGTAATTAAGCCTTGAGTTTACAGGTACTCTTGTTTATACTTAAGCATGGGAAAAAATAATCTATTGTGATCTAAAGCTTAGGCATTCTCTTCTTTTGTGTTATTATTCTTTTCACAATTTAATTTTCATTTGTACATCCATTCATTTTTTCACTTATTCCTTTTTATTATTTATTTGCTGTGTTTCTTTACTCACGATTTTAGTGCTTAACCTTATGTTACTCTTATTTTACATGGAGAATTAGTTATACACAGGCATAAAACTGTGTATAACTAAGAATAGATAAATCGCAAAAGAAGAAACTCAGTGAATTTCTGTCTTTTAATTCAGCTATTTCATCTGTGGTTTCATGGTGATAGATTATTTTACTTTTTTAAATTTGCATGAGATAATTATTTTATGTTGAATGGATTTTAATTTTAACACAAAGCTTTCTGTTAACTTTTCAGGAAAAAACCGTAAAATAGTTTATTCCTTTGTTGACTCTGCCAATGGTAGCTTCACCATTGACAACCAGACTGGAATTGTCTGCCTCCATAGACCTTTAGATCGTGAGCAGATAGCATTTTACAATTTGACAGCTCAAGCTAGCGACTGTGGAACACCTCAGCTTTCATCCATTTCTTTTATTTTAGTCAGAGTACAAGATATCAATGATAATCCACCAGAGTTTGTCAGCAAGTTCTATCATGCTAATGTCTTAGAGAGTGATGAAGTAGGGACAGAAATTATTCGTGTCCTAGCAACAAGTAAAGATACTGGAGTGAATGCAGAAATCATGTATTCTATTGTCAATGGAAATGATTTGAGCTATTTTACTATTCACCCAAAGTCAGGTAATTATCAGAACAAATTGCAAACAAAGAAAAATCATACATCCAATTGTGTTTTGTTTACATGATTCGTTCATTAACATAAGTTTAGAAAAAGTCATTGGAAAAAAATTATAGCAAAACATTGTTTGATATGTATATATATATATATATATATAAGTAAACCGGTTAATTAAAGATTATTTATTAATTAATTAGGTTTATTGACAAACCAGCAAGCCTCTT